AGTATTTCAAAATTACTATCTAGCATAACCCTTCCTTCAATATGTATTATACTAATGGTAGAACCTACTTTAGAAATGAAAAATCTTCACTCCAAATCCACGCAAAAGAATATGCCAAATAAAAGAAAACAGAAATAATCTCAATGATTATTAAAGCTGATAACTTGGGAAAGAGAGCTGTTACTGAATCAGAGGAACTTCTAGTCTGGTCCAAGAATGATAAGTCCCTTGGGAATGTATGCACTCCTCACAGTAATTAAGAATCCATTATTTAAAAGATCTGTCAGTGTGGTTTTATCATCATTGGTGGTTTAAATTTATTTTCTAACTGTCTTAATTTTTAAAAGAGATCTGTAAGTAGACACTGAAATTCAAACCCAATCTGTGGTCAGGGTGAAACATTGCTTTTACCATTGCTAGGATTCAAATGGACCTTCATTTAGAAGAGAGCCAGCATGGTAAAATGTTGCATTAGGAGTGAGGAGATGCATGTTTTAGCTCATCCTCAGCCACCAGCACTCAGGCAACTGGGCAGTCACCCCCTCTCAACCCAACCCAACCCAACCCAACCCACAGTTATTGCTGCCAGGAAAAACAGGAGAAGAGAGGAAATGCTATGTACACTGCCTTGAATTCTCGAAGGAAAGGCAGGAGAGAAACCTATTAGCTCAGTAAGTAAATAAATAAGCAAAGAAATAAATGTGACAAATTCATATTAAGTAAGGAATCAAGATTGATCAGTGGGAGAAGATTGGCTCTAATCAGTGATGAGAGTAAAAAAGCCAACATTATTAAATGACAAAAGTTCTCAAATATGAGCTTCATATTCTGTTAGAACTGCTGTTGAAGCTTTTGTTGCTCTCAGAGCTTCACATCATTCAGCTAAAGCTGCCCTATTAGAGCATATGCAGAACTTTTCTTTAATGTCCCTTTCTCTCAATGGGACTCTAACTGAAACTCTCATTAATCACTGAGAACTATATGAGCAGGCTATTCAACCAAGCAATCTTTTGTTCAGTGACTGCATTTTCTATCAGGGGTCAATTCCCACTATTGGGTTTTTGTTTGTTCGGGGGGGGGGGGGTGGTTCTTCTATCCCATTCAGTTTAAAGTGTTTCTCTTTCCAACGTGTTGTTTCATAAGGTGAAAGAATTATTAGTTTCCAGCTGGCATCTGGATAAAGCATTTATACAGTGATAGAATCATAAATGAAAATGATCTAACATTATGAGTTTAAGTTATACACACTTAATATCAGGGAAAAAAATATATAAATCTTGAACTAGCTTTGTCTCAAGATAAGGTTAGTTGATGTACCTGAAGAGATGAAGTACTGAGTGTAGGGTCTTCTGCACACAAAGCATTGACCTTTCTGTATATCATTTTGTTATAATTCTTCCCAGGCATCAACAGGGCATGAAAATATTCTCATTTGGATATTAATTTACACTTATAGCTCATCATTGAAACTGTCTTAAGAATTCCTGGAAAATAATATTTTTGAATAAAAAGGAACTTTTGCATAAACAACTGTAGGGCTATAGACTAGACTGAGGTGAAAGTTGAAAAACATCCTAGATACATCTGGCTGTGACAAATCACCTCCATGGTACTTTCAAGAAATTCACATGGATGCATCCAGGAAGTCAGCAGGAGTAAATCTTGAATCAAGGAGACTTGATTTAACATCAGCAGCACCACGGTCCATCCCGAATCATTTGTCCCATTGATTTTAAAGGATGCTATTTGGCCATGTATTTAACTCTCTCACTATATACATACAAAGGAATTGATTATGGTTGTCTGCAATCCTATAAACAGTTTTCTCTGAATAAGTTTCATTGATCACAGAGGTGCTTACTTCGGTCTGTCTGCCTACCTGTCATGTCTATCCATCCATTCTATTCTAGGCCTTGGGGGAAGGGTGATTTTGGTGTCCCCTTCTGTTGTGGGTAGTTTATAGTGTCCTGCTCTCCCAGTCAGTTGTGTATTTTTTCCATGTACTTTTTTTTTTTAATGTGTAAGCCACCCAGAGTTATTGTGGAGCTGGACAGCCTCAAAATTGGATTAATTAAATAAATAAAATCTATCCATCCATTCCCCTATCATGCTTGGTCTTGCTGTAGTTTTTCTTAATCCTTAAGTGAATACAGTTCATTTTGTCATCTTGAGTCTGAGGATTCACTATGTTTGTTTCTCCTTGTCTTGTTTTTGTTTTTTTAACTGAGTATTTAACAACTACATTTTGGACTGAAATAAATTTCTACCACAGAAAGTTTTTTGTGAATGAATGAGTTGTATCATGATTAGCTAAGTAGAATTTATCTTGCTTCAATCATGCAGATTCAGTTAGAGGTATCTTGAAGTTTGAAGAGATCAGAATAGGTTCATCTAAAGGCAACTGAAACAATCTAGCAGCACTTTTGAACTGTCACTGCTTTCTGTAGAATCAATGACTGTGGGAGAGATTTAAGGTTTAAAGCTCTATCTAGTGGTCAAACAAAGAATTAGCAAGCTGAAGAATTTGAGTATTATTCTGGATGAGTTTTTAAATATTATTCTTCATCCTAATACAAAATGAATAAGTTGTTTTTCCATAGATGTTTCCATGTTGAAAGTATTTATCACAAAGACTTTATATACTGTTTTATTTGACCAATATGTTAAGTATGTTATTTTGCCTAGGAAATGCCTAGCATATTTATGTAAAAACAGGGACACACTCAGCTTTGAAGTTCGATCTTTTATCTTGCACAAATTTGCTAATTTTGCCATTTCAGTATTTATAACAGGAAACAAGCATTTTGTATATTGCATATGAGCACTCACAGGCACACTAATTTTCTTTGCATGTAAGGAAAATGTACCTAAGAAAATCCTTTGAACAATCTATCAGTTGGGTATCTTTAATTTTAAAATAAGATATATACATTTACACCTATGCATATTTATTCATGAATATTCCCCATTAAATTCAAGTGGATTTACTTTTAAGTAAATGTGGATAGGACTGCAGCTTTGAGAATATATTGCTTGTTTTCAGATTTTACTAAGCATGTGCTGAAATGAGAAGACATAGCTTTACCAAACTAAAAACAAAAACTGAAACAAAAACAATATAATCCATACTCAAGCTGCAGTATTAGCACGTTAGTTTTGCTAACATACTAATCCAGGAATAAGTAACATTAACACTGGTAGAATTTTAGTCAATCAACTGATTTAACATTGGCTTTCTTCACATATAACACAGTGCCAGGATTTTTTTAAAATCAAAGTTTGCTAACCAAGCCTTAATGGCCATGTTTTCACATATAGTAATACTAAACTATAATGAGGATTTTCACACCTCGCTTCAAGTCAAAACAAAGTATCCACTTTATGTTTTAATGTGATGCATGAACCCAGTCACTGAGCAATGGGAAAGCATGAGAAATTTCATTTTTTACTACACAGTTCAAAGGAGCCCTCCTCTGTCCCATAAGGATATAGTAGCCTTCCTCAGCCTGGCACTCTTCATGTCTGATAGGACAACTTTTAGCATTCTGAGCCAACATCATGCAGTTCTTCCTTCCAGTCCATTTGGAATTCTGGGTTTGGAATTTTCTTCATCGTAAAACTTTGCTTTGCTAATTAAACCAACCTTCAGCTTCCCACATTGTTTTGCTAGCTAACCTTGGCTAATCTGAGGCATGGAGAAGGATCCTCCAATCTGCCTTGGAGTGCCACCCAGAGGCTCAGCGTGTAATTTCTGTCCTCAGATTTTTACATTGATGTGCAAGCTTATATTAGGAGGGTTGTATGTGCCTGTGTATATATAGATATACATATGCACCCAATTTGAGCTGATAATACAGATAAGCCCAGAGCTAGCCAATTCAGTGTTAGCTATGGATTTTAAAAAGTACACTTATATTGGTTGTTTCCTTAAACTCCGCTCAGAAGGAAAACACACCCTTTCCCTCATCGGGGCTGCCTACAGACGTTGCTCCTTGGTTTGCAGCTTTCCTCGGTTCAAGGCGCTGTTGCATCAGCCGACGCGCTTGGGCACCTTGGGGAACAAAGACGGCGGGGGGGGGGGGCGATTTTCCGGGTCATTAGCCATTACATTCAGATTTAAACTTCCTTCAATCGCCCCTCAGTTCTTCCCCTCCTCCTCCTCCCAAATGTGTGGGCTCTAACGCGTAACCGCCCTTGCCTTTTGCTACTATAATTTCGACAGATGCCCACGTGGAAAGGAGGGTCTGTTTTGTACTGTTTGAATGCATCTGGGTATAGGTGTGCAAAAAACCCGAATACAATCCCTGCCCAACGAAACAGGCTTTACTCTCATCTTTGAGGAGGGAGTTAGGCGGGAGGTCTTGCGGGGAGGGAGGCGACTTCGCAAAGAGCCCCCTTTCGTGCGCTTTCTTTGCTCTCTCCAGAGGTTCCCGGACTTCTGCTTTCCACGCGGAGCTCGCGGCCGCGGCTATTCTGTGCACCTAGGGCCTTAATCGGATTGGGAGGGCAGCCGGGCAGGGGAAGGAAGAGACCCCGAGAGCTTCGGAAGAGAACCCCACCGCCGAGGGTAGTTTTCTCTCCCGCGTCCGATCCAAGGCAGGCCAGGGAGGCAAGGCGCGCTCGGGGCTGGCGCTGGAGATCAGGATAGCCACCCCGGCTCCGCTGTAATGAGAGCCTCCTCGTCCCAAAGCTGGTCAGAAACCGAAGCCTGAAGGATGTCCCCCGGGCAGTGATGTCATCCAGATCAATACGACGGGGCGGGAATTGGCTGGAGCACTTGCTCACGAGCTGCGTCTATATTGGAATCGGTATTCGCCTTATCGATTGGGCTGATAACGGAGAGCTATAAAAGAAGGGGCTCGCGTGGTGCTGCCAACACTCGCTCCCGAATCCCCACCGTCCCCGGCTTGACTCTCTCCCCGTTCCCAGCGTGGGAACATCGCGGCGCGGTGCTTACGGTTCTTCAGCTTGGAGAGGAGCCCCCTGCTCCTTCTGCCAGGATGGGGCTGCAGCTCGGCAAAGCCCGCGTCGCGCCTCTGGCTCTGCTGGGCCTTTGCTTCGCGATGGCGGTCAAGTCGGTGCCCCTGGCCGATGCCGGACCGCACGTCAACTACGGCTGGGGGGAACCTATCCGGTTCAGGCACCTCTACACGGCCAGCCGGCACGGGCTGTTCAGCTATTTCCTGAGGATCCACGGCGACGGCCGAGTGGACGGCGCTGTTAGTCAGAGTCGACACAGTAAGTACCATCAACGCTCGGACATGGGTCCTTCCTCCCGGGCTTGGCAAGTCTCAGCCGGTCAGCCTCCCCGAGGTCCCTCCCCCGCTTTTGGAAGCTGACGCTTTGGCCCGGAGAGCTCTACTCACTCGCGGAAACCAAGCCATTTCCCCCTCTCCCTTTTCCATTGCCCTCTGAATCAGCGGTCCCGCCGACCGGAGCGCGCGAGGAAAACCCAAATCCTGAAAGGACTCCGGGCCTTGGGACTTTTCTGTTGTCCTGATTACGCCAAGGACTTTGGAGGGGGCACCCACCCAACTGCCCCTTCCTCTTTACAAAGGGCCCTCCTTTTGTTCATGGGCTCGCTCCATCCTTCCTGAGGAGGACGCGCGTGTGAGGAAAAAGAGATCCTTTCCCAAAGGGCAATTTTCCCGCCCACGGAGCATATTAATCCTGCATCGGTTTGTTTGTCCCCCGGCGCAGGTTTGCTGGAGATCCGAGCAGTAGCGCTTCGCACGGTGGCGATCAAGGGCGTGCACAGCTCTCGCTACCTGTGTATGGAGGAGGAAGGCAGGCTGCACGGGCTGGTAAGTGACTAAGCTGGCACATCGACGGGGACGGGCTGAGCCTTCCCTACGTATCCTTTCCTCCCAGTCAGGAATTGCTTTGTCTGCCTCTCCGCTAACAGCCAGACGAGACGCGCCCCACTGGAGGACTTAGACGAGTCGCGCCACAGTCCTAAACGTGGCGGGAAGGGCGCTCTTTTCTGGCGATTTAAAGTAAGTTGTCGTATGAAAGGACGAGTTTTATTTGGTATTAATGCGGGCTCGCCAGAGAAGAAAAGGAGGGGGGTCGCCAAGAATTGGAGGACAGGAGCGTATGGGATAACTGAAGCTGAATTTTGGAGCGAATAATGGGATGAAAGAGAGCAGCGTCGGTCTTTGGCGCTACTTCAGCAGCGCTGTGGTAGTCTAGAGGTGGACTCAGCACATTCCAGAATTCAGACTGCAGACTTACTCTTTGTTTACGTTTCTTTTGGGACCTGTTTTCGGGGCTCCAGGCAGGAGAGTAGATCCTTATCGCGCTCTGTCCTCACAGCAACCTTTGAGGCTGAGAAATAAGAGCGTAAATCCGAGAGGCCACCCAGTAAGCTTGCTGGCTGGCTAGCGATTTCTTTCTGGGGTCCCTGCATCCAGATACAATGCTTCATCCCTTGCATTGCAGTCACATTAAGAAAGGAATCTGGAGTTGCGTTCTTTATTGAATAACGTCTGCTCCCTGTCCTCCTGGTTTCCTACTATTTCGTTGGGCTTTTAAAAAATAGACATGAGTTCACAAAACTTTGTTGGTTATTCTCCTCTAAGACTCTGGGAAAAAAGGGGATTATTTCATTGTAGAGGAGGTCAGATGGAAAATAGTAAATGTTAGATGCTATTTCTGATAATTCAATGAGACACTTTATACATATTGTTTACATATCTCCCATGGATATCTATTAAGATGGAGCGTTGGTAGCAAACATAATTGTACAGCAGCTAGAGTTGGTATTAGAGCAGAATCCAAGGGAGAGAAGACTCCAACCATTGACTCCCATCTACTGGTCATCTGGATCTTTGCAGCACAAGAGTGGCATCCCTAAAACAGATAAAAAACCTGCAGAAAGGGAAGTTTGCAGCCTAGGAAGCAGGATGAATAAGAACAGAGAGAAAGAGACAGTAGCTGGAAGGCGGAGTAGGTTGTTTGTGAGTTTCCCAGAGCACTTGTTGTCTCTGGCTACCTCAACCCTAGAGCACCAACTCATGGGGTTTGCTATACAGTTGCTGAGCAGCAAAACAATAGACTTAGATGTAAATGAGCTCAACCCTTATGATGTGCTAAAAATCCAGCAATTGCTTTACATGGTTTGTGAACCAGATCATCAAATGTAGCCATAATATGATTTATGTGTTTAAGAAAGGGATTTCTGCTTATGTAGGTTGGTGAAGTGCTTGAATCATAAGATCCACGTTGTTCTCTTTTTCTTTTAATTTAAAAAGTCCAATGACCAATGTTATAAATAAGAAACTCTTTTATGCCTGGTATAATGAATGAAGCACTTAAACATTAACTTAAATACTTTGGGTTTTTCTTACTCAGTTTACTCCACATGAAATATGGGAGTCAGGTAGCACACAAGTTTAATAATAAATATAAACAAATAAATAAATTCCCTAGGAAATACTGATAGATAACAATGGTCATCCCCCCATACCAAGTCAGTGTTATGTAGCTGCATCAATAATCCAGATGTGACTGCTCACCTCAGAGTCACACAAATATAAGGTTATTCTGTCCAATTGAAATCAATGTTCTTAATGCAAAGGTGTATGTGTGGGCAAGCACACCTATAAGTACACATCAAGCTGCGTTATATTAAACTAGAGCCCTCATTCAACTAACCTGAAGTGGACAAGCAGAACCCACATTTTTAATTGTTGTTTTATCCTGTTGTTTTCATTGATCTTCCAAGAATAGAGCGCATAGCTGATGATACAGCAATATTTTTGGCTCATTTTTTTGTGAGAAGGGCATTCTTCATTGTTTTAAAGCAAAATTTGACCCCATTTTCACTCAGTTGCCCTCTCCCCTAGCAAATCATATTGCTGAATGTTGCCAGGATTTTTTTCTTGGTCATCTCAGACCTGGGATCTTCCCATACCAGTGGCTGCTATACTTCTACTGTTCATGTAGGTGCTCTTCCACAGGCAAGATATTTTCTTAAATGTTTCTTGCTTTTTATGCTTTTTAAGATATAACTTTAGATAATTATGATCACAGCTTCCATTTAGAATGCTCAGCCTGCTATACTAAAATTCACTTCCATCAAAAATAAAAATATATAGTATGCCTAAAGTTAACTTTTCAATAATAGAGATTTAAACAGTGGGATTCAAATCTGATCTAATTTCTGCTTGTAAACAGCAATAGTACAGTTTAAAGCTGACTCTTGATTAAAAGAAGGATTGGCACTTCTCCTCCCAAAGTATAGCCTATCTGTGTAATTTCCTTGCAATTATGTGTATTTAGAACCAAACCTTGCTGAGCATACCAGGACTTAACTGTATTGCACCAAATACACTCATTTAAATTCTGAATTGTGAGGGTTTTTAAAAATTTTAATCTGTCCATCAATTAATAAAAGAAAACAGGCTACAGCCCTATATACCACACAGAGGCAATTATTTGGTAGCCTGGGGCCATAATAATATGTTTGAAGGTGGATAAAGGCCACAGTAATTGGGACAATTTACTTATTGCTTAAATTTATATTTCACCTTTCCTCCAAGCGCTCAAAAGCAGTGTACATAGCACCCACTCCTCCAGTTTTCTCCACAAGCCTGTGATGTGATTTTGCCTGAAAGGTAGTGAGTGGCCCCAAATCATTCAGTGAAATTCCATGGCTGAGGGAGGATTTAAATTAGGGTTTCCAGAAGTCTTAGTCTAACACATGATTGGAGCAGGATTTTTATCTTTCCCTGGGTTTGTGGTGTTGGTGCGAGAAGTTTTGGACTTCTTTCTTTCTCTCTTTTAAATTGTTGAGTCTATTGTAGGGCATACACTACCATTTTTGCATATCCCCCCCCCCGCCCCAAAGTGGTGGGAAACCAAGGCATTGATTTTCAAAATTATGCTATGAAATGACTTTCATGACAGCAACTTCACATTTCAAGCCATGGCTAATCTGGACAAAGAGTAAAACTTGTTTTCCAAATGCCTGACAGTCCAATATATTTGTGGAGAACCTCTATTTTAAACCTATTTAGTCTCTTTGAAGGAATTCATTTTCATCGTGGTGATGCGATTTTCAGTCTGTTTTATATAATTCAGATAAAGGTAAGGTTTAGATGCTTGGCTGAGAAAGAGCTTGTGCAAGAACATAATTTCTCTTATCATTGAAGCCTTCTACGTAATTTGCAATACTTTTTTGGTTGACCAAGAGTTCAGTTACCTCTAATGGCTGAACCAGAGTAACACCAGAGTTTTAAGAAAATCAACAGTGGCACAAAAGGACTGAAAAATTTGGAAATATGGCCATTGATCCTTCATAGCGTTAATATTAATGAACACCTTTGTTTCTGTTGGTCAGAGTATACAATATAACAAATATATATTCTGTTACATCACAGAACACATTTTTATTCCAGCTTTCCCCAGTTTGGTGTTCTCCAGATGCCCTGGGTTTCAATTTCCAGCATAATGTCTAGGAATTTGGAGAATTGAAGTTCAATGAGGGCTATCAGAAATGGGTTGGAAAAATCTGGATGTGCATGAGATGGCAGGAAGAGAGTTTTCTACAGATCTTTTCTGCTATCTAGTGATTGTTCAGATTTTTAAGCTCACCAGAATAGAGAAGACTGTCTTACTTGACAAAGTCTGTGGGAATTTCTCAGTGGGAAGGCATACTATGCTTATGGTTCCCACCAAATGAAAATAAATACATAAAATTTATATTTCTTAAAAGGAAAAAAACAACAACACAAACAAACCCAAAACAAAACAAACAAACAAATAAAAACCTTTATGTTTCTATTAGGTTGTCCTGGAATATTGGGAACTAGGCCCATTACCAACTGGGAAAAATGACCAGATGGCACTGTCCTTAACCCACTATTATGCAAAAGTTGCTTTGGCAACATGGAATAGACCTGAGATGTGCAATGTTTCTGGGCCAAGGTTTGCTGCTGATCTGAGTGGAATGCCAGGGGCTAATTTGCCAAAAGTAGTTATTTTATTTCATCTGTAGTTAATACAGATTAAATGACTAATTCATCTGTAGTTAATACAAATTGATATGACTAATTCCAATCTTTGTGTTTAATCATTTTCTCTTTCTGTCACATTAAAAATTAAGATTTGGTAATGTCTTTTGTTGATCTTTGAGGGCTGCACCTAAGATTTCCAGGCTTGATTCTGCTCTAGAGCCTTAAGTCATGTATAGCCTTTAGTCTTTACTGCATGATTCTCATAATTCAACTCAAACCGTTTTGTTGCCATAGAATATAGAGATCCCCTTATAATCTAGGGCAAGGGTAGACAAACTGGTATGCACCAGATTGTTTTGGTTTCAGTTCTATCAGTTGTTTACCATTAGCCATGCTGCTAAAACTGTTGAGAACTGAAGCTCAAAATATCTGGAAGTTACCTGATATATGCAGATGCCAAACTGAGATACTGAAAGAACATAAGTAAATCAGACTGACACTGCTTATTTGTCCCATTAGGTCTTGAAAAAAAGAAACTCATTCAGTACTTTAACCCATAATTAAGTCTTGCATGACAGCATTTTTATCATGCCCTGGCCTCTTTTATCATGAACCTTTCTTTGTTGTTTTCCACAGCATCTGTTAGTACCCTCACAGAAGCATTCAGTTCAAGCTATAATAATTCCTCTATATATTTTTTATGCATAGTGAAAACAAAGATTCTGAAATATGAGCAATGAATTACTGTGATGGGTAATCAGGAATTAAAAAGGGTTCTTTCCTTTCAATCAAGTAAAATTGGAGAAATCAAAATGAACCTTGTTATAAAATGATCACCATTCCTTAGTAACGTGTCACTGAATATGTTGCAGTCTATACTTAATTATAAATACTTCTTATAACCTGACTTATAAATGCTTCCTCTGTTTCTTCCTGAGGTCCCCTAAGATTATCATAGCTCTGTGAAAGGAGTGCAATTTAATCTCACTAAGGAATACAGTATATAATTATCTTGTTGCCGAACAGATAATTCCACTGTTTATTTGGATAAATAATGTTGCTTCATCTACAACAAAATCTCTTTATAAAGAGATTTATAAAACTCATATGTAATAATGTTCACTTTTTTTTTCTTTTCAGCCTATATATACTACAGAGGATTGTTCTTTTGAAGAGGAGATACGTCCAGATGGCTACAACATCTACAAGTCAAAGAAATATGGAATCTTGGTGTCCTTAAGTAATGCCAGGCAAAGACAACAGTACAAAGGAAAAGACTTTCTTCCACTGTCTCATTTCCTACCTATGATGAACACTGTGCCAGTGGAAACTACAGGTTTTGGAGAATATGGTGATACCAGGCAGTATTTGGAATCTGGCATTTTCAATCAACCAGTTGAAACTGACAGCATGGATCCCTTTGGTATCACTTCCGAAGTATCATTAGTACAAAGTCCTAGTTTTGGTTAGTAACTTGTGTTCCTTTAATTAGACTTTATAAGGGTATTATCAAGCATTTAGGCTTGTATTTCTTGAAGTGATACTTAAAACATGAGAAACATATGTAGATATGGTACCACCTTCTTAAGCAATACTAATTCCAAGGAAGCTATGCTCACTCACTCTCTTTCTCTCTCACACAGGTAGTTAGAAAAGTTCCTTCTAAATGTTTTATTTAGAAATGACAAAATTTCAAACCCTGCAGAATTTCTTTTGCTTTGGAAGATCTTTGGAAAGATAATCCCATGAAAATTTTACTTTACTGCTTCATTACTTCCAATTATCTCTGAGCCCCAGTGACTGCTGTTCATTCAAAGAATGGATAATTCCTGTTCAGTGTAGTTAAACAGAACAGTGTTAGAAATAGATCGGCAACAACTAAGTAAACAAAATGGGCTAACACATTTTGATACATGCTAGATCCCACTATGTTTTGCAGACTTCTACTGTTCTTAAGGAAATTAGCTATTGGAAGATAATTATCATCATTAAGCTGCCTGATACAGACTTGAGAGAATATAAACTCCAACTAATAGGAGAAATTAAATAATAAACCTGTCATGTTTTATTAGTAAGACAATGTTAGTTGCTAAATGGTACAAAGACTTTCTAGTGATGTGAGTTTCTTCATCGAAGAGAACAAATGCAACTGCCTGAAGAGCTGCATTTTTGAAAGAACAAGAATGGTTAGACTGCTATCTGGGAAAGCAAGCAAAAAGTGATGCAGCTAAATACTTCTGATTTCTCTGTAGATTGACAATAACTAAATGTTTACCTTGCTTACAGAACAATGTTGTAAAACTAAAATGTTTGCTTCTTTAGCCATACCATAAATATACAGTAAAATCTATATTTAGTTTGAATCATTCATTTATAGATTGGATAGCTTTGTCCAGACTTTCTACCACAAAATACTATTTTTCTCAATGAAAGTAAAATTAATTCTCAACAAATATAGCTGACTGCATTTCCCCCCAACCTGTTGCTTTCCTGATGTACTGTGACTTGAATTTCCAGAGTTCTCGGCCATTGACTAATTCATCCCAATAGCTCCAGGCAGGGGAAGGCTGGCTGAATAGATGAAAGCTGCCATTTACGGTAGGAGATGTTTTGGATATAGTCCAGTTTGTTTTAAATTCCAGTTGAATGTGATGCAATATCATCCACATTAAAGTTAGCAGTACTTCATATACGTTCTCTATATAATAATTTATAAAGTTAAAATTTCAATAATTACATGGTAGAAATTTGAAATAACAAACTTTGGGACATTATTCTTTTTTAAAAGTTCTTGTATATAGTAATAAGGCTGTACAGAAATCAGAAGGAAACATTTTCTTGAACTAGCACTTCATTGCCAATGCTCTATTTATGATTAATTTATTAAACACATACATCTGTTTATTTTGTTACTGTATTTATACTTAAATTTATATTTATGTATTCCAATTTTGTCTTTTTAAACACTGGATAAAACGTAGTGGATTTTTGTAATCTTAAAATGGTGAAAAAACAAATCTTTAAAAATTGTGTGTAAAATTGGTAGTTGTAGTATGTAACATTTTAATAGAAATAAAATATAATAAAACATTTGTCCCCCGACTTCCTTTAGCTGATAGCACATGATTTAACCTTTTAAAAACATTTAGCCCAGTAAAAGTTGAATTTCGTGATCTGAATATATTTTGCAATTTTGTATTTATTTTGATTCATGCATTTATGAGTCAGGTCTGAAGAACTATCCAGCACACTGAAATTTTGTCTGTAAATACCATGATTGTACTCTGCCTCTCCTCTCTCCAGTGTCTCAGATGTTTCTGTTTTCTGGATAGTTTTAAGACAGTTGTTGCAACCTTCAATACCAGATACTTGCCAGTTTACAATAATTGAGATTTTTAGAATTTGAAAGTCTTTCTGTAGCAATATTCTTACCATAGTAACTAGATTTCTTTGTAGGCAGGTTTGTGTGGAAGATAGCAACTGTAGATTAACACAGCATTAGATGAGGCTAGCCCTTCTAACCCACTTTTGTATGACTTCACACTTCAAAGGAAGCCTGGAATATCCATAATGGATTAGTCAGTCACTGATGCAATTGAGTAACATGTGGGAAACTTCTTAAAAATTCTGTTCTAGAAGGAAGGTTTTCCTGTCTTTCAGCAATGCTGATGTAGTACTCAACTTCCTTTGATGTACTCAGTAAATACTACAAGATAAGATAACGTAGAAGGAATTGTTTGTTTCTGCACCCTACCCCCATAAACACAAATGTGTTCCAAGTCCTAGGTTATTTCTTCCCCTTAAGCAAGGAATGTATTGCCTTGAACTATAGATTAATTCTTTAAAACTGCCATTTTATAAATTTTATGTTAAGAGAAAACTGAATAAAATTCAGTTGCCTTGCAAAAGAATGCAATTTTTTCCTTTTGCACTGCAGATATGATTGCAGGACACAGAGTAGCCTAACTACCAAAATAAGTATTACGCTTGCTTGGCCCTATAGAAATGAATCAGATTTGTAGTTTAAGATAATTTTTAGTGGACAGTTTAAAAGTGAAACCTGCAATATAATGCTGCATATATGCTCCTAATAAGATAAACTAAGGATGCTATCCATCCATCCATCCATCCATCCATCCATCCATCCATCCATCCATCCATGCCCTACCTAGCATTTTAGTTTTTCTAATAATGTTTGCCCTAACTTTCTATGTAGCTCCCAAGCAATGGA